TGGGAAAGATTTTCAAGCAAAATAATTGGGGCGATCCAAAAATGTGCTAAGTGTATTAATATGAATTCAGTTTCCCCAAATTTGGATCATAGCTGGAAGACATGCTTCTAGTCACAGAGATTCTTATAAAGTAGGACTAAGAAATATGTACTTTCCAAAAAATGTGGAAATCGCTGAAGCATGGTATATCACTTTGATGGGATCTTGCTCAGTCACCAAAAAAGAAGGAAACCAATGAGTCCTGGATTCATGTTAAGTGAAAAAAAGAATCAGCAACAGTTCTGTCTCCCTCACAAGTGTTTCTGAGGATTAAATGACGTGTATAAATTATTTAGCCCAATGCCTAAAATAATAAGTAAATAATAAGAGCTTAAAGATTGTGGTAATGATGATGCTGATGGTGGTGAGATGACGGTGGTGATGGTGATGATAATGATCCTGTAAGAAAAAAAAACTATAAAAATTGGGGTTCTATAGGTCTCCACATATCTCATTAAAATATGCTCAAACTATGGATTAAGCTCATATATTCTGGGGTTCATGGATAAAGATTAAGATCTAATATAGTAAATAAAATTAACAGTCCTCCTAGAGGATTAAAAGTCAAATAGACCCCCTTGACATTTCCAGGATTACAATTCCATGAAGCCTCAACAACATGGCTGCTTAAACAAGACCTAAACAAGGATGACACCAAAGGGCATGGTAATATGGAGGAGAGAGAAAAATCTCAAGGGGTCCTAACCAGAGGTAAAGAACTGTAGGCAGCTAAGGAATAGTGAGAGAAGTAGTCCTCCTTAAGTAAGAGCCGCAGACTGGTTATAGTTAGTCCTGAATTCATATACATACAGTATGTCTACACAGACTGAGGTTGAATATGCATATTAGGAATATTATGTACATATGTCTATATGTGTATCCTGATATATATGATATATATGCACACATATACATGTATACACACACACACACACACACACACATATATATATATATGCATATAAAATCAACAATTAAGAAAAATAGACCAGAAAGTATGCATTTCAGAGAGAGTAGGGGTGATATATGGGAAGGCTTGAAGGTAGTAAAGGGAAAGAGGGAATACATATAGTTATATTTTAATCTTAAAAACTTTTAAAAATTCAAATAACTACAAACTTCTCATCTTCTTGGTCCTCTCATAAGATGCCGTTTAGATTGGCCCTACATAAATATTGTAGAGCTATATGAATGTAAAATGATAGAATCTCTCCCAGACATTGGGAGCAGATGGGGGTGTGTCTTGAGAGAGGTCTCCATTAAAGACACATGTATTTTTAGCCTTGCCATGTTGTATGTGTTCCCAAATCAGCAAAGCTGCACAGAAAGCCACCAAGCATGAGGAAGACTTTGAATGGAGCCTTCTGGGACATCCAACCCCTATCAAACACATAAGAGAATAACGTGGCATATAGTTTCCAAGGTTTTATAACTATGGAAAATGACGAAGATTGATGATGCTTGTCCTGCCAGAGGACAGGCTCACTGTTGTTGCTTGACTTGTATCTCATGCCCCGCCCCCCACTCTGCCTCAACTTCAAAACAAAAGTCCAAGTCTAATTAAAATCAGAACCCCGTGTCCCATTAGTACTCTGCTGGCAGACCTTGGCTTTGGCATTGTCTTTCTGACCAGATTACTGATTAGTGTTTATTGCTAATCATCTGTGGCTGGAAACATGACCCAGGGAGCAGAGAGACCAGGGCAACGGCACGCGGTGTCATTGTTAGACTTACAGTGTTTGCAGCAGGAATCGCTCAACCCTCATCCACAACCACAACAGATGCCTGAGCAGGCCAAGTCTCTAGTGTTGGCAGTCAGGCAAAGCTGCCTCCTCTCAGCCCTTGGCAGGACTCCCCACCGATGTCTGAAGCCTATGTTGCCTGGAGAGGGAGGTAGGACAGGCTGAGCAAATCAGCGTTTGCTATATCTTACAGCAAAGTTCTTATGCCCTGTGTCTTCTCAATTCCTCACAGAAAATTAAGAGTCCTGCTGGGTGAGGCTGTGGCACGTTGTGGAACATGGTCCTCTGCGCATCAGAGCCTTTATTACCTCCATCCAAGCAGCTGGGACGACTGGCAAGTGATGCTCCAGACTGGGTCCATCAACCTCCCCTGTAGAGGGAGGAGAGGTTGAGGAGGTTCATTAAACCTTCACCCAAGATCCCAGCTCCTCCTTCCTTCCTACACCTCCCTACCAGCTATAAGTACTTTATCTCCAGTTTCACATGGCTGTGGGGATCAAGGGTATACAGAAGGAAAAGGAACTTGGAAGAAATCATCTTTGCCCTGTCACCTGTGCTCTGGTGGGATTTTCTGCAATGTAGCTATTTAAAGGTCATATGGAAAATAATTTTTAAAAATTAGTCTCTCATCATTTTCAACCCCCAAATGACCATTTGGGCCACTTTACTATAGATTGCAGGATTTGAAGATCATGAAAAAAAATAATGTCTAGGTAGTTTAGACTAATTTAGATGTCTGAAGTAGGATCAGCAGAGTGAGGTTATATGGGGAAACTCTGTAGGAAACGATTATATCTGCCTGTGATAAAATTTCGTAAATTAGCATAATAGTTTCTTTGCCTCTTTTGCTTTTTATAAAAAATGTGTATAGGTATTAGTCTGCATGTATGTCTCTCCACTGTGTGCATTCCTCATGCCGAAAGAAGCCAGAAGATGGTTTAAAATCCCCTTGAACTGGAATTACAGATGATTTTGAGCTACATGAGGGTTAGGAATTGAACCTGGGCCCTCTGGAAGAGTAGTCAGCGCACTTAACCACTGAAAAAACATCTCCAGCTGATAAGATTGTATTTTTAACCAAATCAATAACCTTAGGTAGGTTTGGAAGACAACATAGAATGATGTGTCCAAGGTCTCTTGTAAGCACATTTGCTTGAAGGTTAACAGATAACTTTGTGTGAACACCCGACAAAGTTAATGTTAATGTCCAAGAAAGCAGTGGCCAAGCAGGAACAACAGTTTTGTGTATTAAGTAACCACATTTGTTTGTTTTAATTTCTATTTCAGTAAATTTGCCAAAGAAATTAGGAAAGGGAGGTACATCACTTCTTACTCTCAGGAAGAAATGATGCTAGGCCAGTAGCAATAGGCAAATGGTACCATGTGGTGTGACAAGTAGCTCCATAAGGTGCTTTGTAAGAGCCCTAGGTTACTGTGGAAAATGAGGGAACCTTTTCATCATGACATAGCCTTCATCTCACAGGATCCATCTGTGAGAAGGTAGTGGGTTCATTCTGGTCCACATGGAGATCACTGACACACAGATGAATGGTCAGATGTCACCTGTATGCAGCTACTCAAAATAATCACCCTCACCAGGTCTGTTTCCACCTCAGTGAAACATAGATGCTCTGAATACAATGGTATAGTAAACATGGAACATAAGCATAGTCTATGAATATGGTCAACTCATTTCCTACAGCCCTTCTCAGAAGAGAATGTAGCTTCAGGAAGACTCTTCTGAGCCCCACCCTTCGGCATGTGATGCATAGTCTTACTTTACATAAGGGGATACCGGGAATCCTAGGACTCTAAGCATAAATGGATACAAAAAGCATCAGATTGGTTCTCTGAGTGCCTGTGGCAAAAAGATCGGTCCTGATTTATGATTCGCACATAGGGAAATGTCTGACGTGAAGTCAACAACTGAAATCAGATGAATAATTCAGGATGCCGATCAATCGCATCACCTCTCCTTACCATGTTCCTGCTATTTTTACGTAATTGCAAAGCAGAGAATAAATTGATGTCATAAATAAACAACTGTCATTTGGTGTGATGTAGACCCCTGCATCTTAGGGGTTTTGCATTTTCAGGTTCTACTCTTGTGCTTTTTACACAATTAAAAATGTGGTGCTCATATTAAATTATGGCGAGGAATCTCTCTGCATGCTATTTCAACATTCATGTTGAGAGAAACACAATGTCAAATGACGAGGCATCAGATTCCCTCCTTGAAGGCCAATCCTTCTTTATTGGTTGTGTCCTGGAAGACCATCTTCAAGGAATGCTCTTAACACCCATTAGATGATGGGATATTCAATTGACTCAATGCATCCACGCAAAGCCTCCACTTCCTTTCACATTTGCTTTTAAGAGGGGTGGGTGCAAATGGATTTGCTTTAAAGTCTCACTCTCCATCCTCATGAATCTTCCCTTCTTTTTTTTTTTTTTTTTTTCAAGCCTAACTGTAACCAGCTTTATTAAAGATACTTTTCATAAACAATCATGGTATTTCAGGCAGGACATGGGCAGACAATCAACGATATACAAGAACTTCCAAATTCCCTTCTTGTATAGACTACCAAAATCAGAAAGCCACTATAAAACCCAATGAAACCTTCATTCAACGCTTTGAAAACGGGGAGTAGCTTAGAGTGAGGGTTGACAGTTCACATTAAGGATGTTGTTTAACAACTTTTCACAAGCCGACCCTGACTTTCAGGAAATGAACATGGCAGAATTATCAATCTGAAGATCCACAATCTTATAAAAGGAACCAGTGCTCTTCTGAGAACACTCAGTGATGTCACTGTAAAGTCCATATCGCCCAATACACTAGAAAACCAATTTTGGGGGCCAGGTTCCAAAAGGTCTCTGGTCTTTAAGGGAATTAAGTCTGTTGATGGTACAGGGGGAAGAGCATATAAAAATGAATTTAGAGTTTCCCCAGACCACAAGGCAATTTGTTGTGCCTTGGTGGCCACCTACATCAAGACCAATACGTCTCTCCTGGAAGCCAACAGAAGCCTTTCAAAATTATCAAGGAAAGAGGTTTTTGTCCTCAATCCAGCTTGGGAGATATTTTGTTAGTGACACATGATCCTTCCCCCCACCCCCAACAATGAAGTGTTCTGTGTGCTAACAATATAGCTTAAAAAAAAAGTAAAACAAAATTCTTCATTTTTATAAAACATGATAAAAATAGTATTACAAACTGTACAGTCACCAGAAGTACACAGTTATCAAAAATGCACACACGTCACTTGGCGTCTCCGGCACCTTCCGCTTTCTGTGCCTGGTCTGTTTTGGCATCTCCATTTTCTGCAGGATTATTCGCATCCTTGCCCGCGTCGGCTTTCCCCTTCTTCCCCTTGGGTACTTTCTCTCCCTTCTTTGCAGGGGCCTTTTTAGGCTTGGGCTCTGGCTTTGGAGGAGCAGGTTTAGCAGACAATCTTGCAGATCTTCTCTGTGGCTCGTCCTTCACCTTGGCTTTGTCTCCTTTAGCATCCCCTTCAGCCTTTCTTTTGGGCATGGCGGCGGCAGGGGACGTCGGCGCTGAACGCGGGTATACAGCGGCGCGCGGGTTTGGTCCGTCCGGGGGTCGTCCTCGCTGCTTCTTCACACTGCTCCGAATCTTCCCTTCTGTGAAAGGCAGTGAGAGGGACCCTGCACTGTTCATGTTGTGTTCCTTTGTGTGTGTTCATGAGTGTGAGTGAGTGCCGGGACACACTGGTGGAGGTTGAGGGCAACCTTGGAGGTTGGTCCTTGTTTTCTCTTTATTGGCCAATGCTCTTCCAGGGACTCTTCTGTCTCTTTCTTCTATCTGAGATTACAAATGTGTGTATTATTACATCTGGCCTTTGTGTGGTCTTGGGAATCTGGACTTGGAGAAGCAGGCTCGTTCTCTATACCACTGAGATGTCCCCAGCCTGTATTTTATGACTTCTGAAAGAAAAAAAATACAACCTAAGTCACCAGATGTCTTATTCAATGACTGTCATGTTATTAACATGCTTAATTTTATGACTAACAGTTGTTCAAAAGAAAACAACAGTAATATTCAGTTTCATTAAATGTAAAAATACTGGGTTTTCCATTTTTAGGTTTTTTTTTTTAAATCCAAATACTGCCTTCCTTACCCCAAACCCCGAAGTACTATTTAATGTGACCATTGCACTTGTTTTCTGTGCAGGGAATTTTAGAATTCCAGAGTTTAAGCTAATTATAAAAACTAGAAACTCGTTCGTATTTATGAGCCACCGACTAAAGACAAAGTATGACTTTTATGTTCAATTTTGAATGAATATGTAATCAATAAAATATATGGAACTTTGAGCATATTATCAACTAGTCCTAGCAGGATACTTTTAGATCTTTAAAGGTCTTCTATCCTAAACCCTTTGAATGTCACTTGAACAGCAAACATCTCTGTCTTTATTCACTTGTTTAAAAATCAAAATTCCCTCGGGTCATATGGGCTATCTAGATCATACATCTTGTTCAAGGGTAAGCTGGGCAATAGTTACAGCAATAACCAGACAACTGCAGATGAAAGCATAATTTACAGAGAGCCTTTCTTTTTCTTTCCAGATAACCCTTCTCCTCAGTTCATTTCAGAGCTTAAAACACAGTGAGTTTTAGAAGCCAAATTTAATTTAAAATAAACTCATACATTCCTCTTCCTCAGCTCAGACTTGGGAATGGGCAGAATCCAAATGGAAAATAACCTTTTGAACCCTTTTCAGGGGAACCATAGGACACTTGAAGTCTTCTGAGAGCTGGACTTATGTCACAAAGATACGTTCTTTGCCCTTTAATGTGGTCAAGCATGTTAGCTTGGCCAAATGTCATTTTATAAGAAAAAAAAGTATGTGATTTAGTGAAATTTCTGGAGAAGAATGAAGGCAGGTTGGAGTGGGGTTGTGGTGGCATCCTGATTAAAACACTCTGCAAGATGCTATGCATCCTTCATGGAATCTAAAGATGACTGCTTCTGGAAAGACACATGTTTTCCCTCAGAAATGGCAAAACATGTTCCCTTTCTCCTTTCTCTTGGTGAGGGGAAATGATTTTGTAATGTCTCTGGCAATGCTGAGTGCTGAGAGGGTTGTCAGTGTTGACCAAGCAAATCAATTCAAGGAGCTGATAAATCTGATACTGAATATGGAAAAGGACATCATGACTTTATAGTGTGCATGTCTGTCTGGTTCTCTAAGGATGAAACTGGGTACTGGTTTACCAGAACTGCTTGGTGCAAATATTAAGGGGCACCTCCAAAGTCTGAGTGCTGGAAGTTGAGTCCCTAGTGTGGTGATGTAAGACACATTTCTTAAATGCTTTCTTCTTCTGAGCTTTGTTTTGTTGTTAAATGCAACCTGATTTATAAGTATATGTACAAGTCATATATCTACTGATAATACACAATAAATTTTATTTTTGGACAATTCTTTGGTATGCATATAATTTTGCTACTTTTTCTTTCAAAATTGTTATTTACTTTTCTAAAAAAATGTGGGTATATGCATATATCTGTCTATATACATGCAGATAAATGCAATGCCAGTTTACAGATGGAGTTATACTGAAGGAAATTGGTCACTGAGAATGAGCCTTGAGGTTTTTTAGCCTGACACCGCTTCCCGTTCACCCTCTGCTTCCTAATGTGAAGGCAACATAATCTACCTTGTGTACCAGTCACTGTGCTGCCCCTGCCTGATGTCACACCTTCTCTGCCATGATGGAATGTATCCTTTTAGGACTGTACAAGCCAAAATAAACCTTTTCTCCTTCAAGTTGCTTCTGTCAGGGTACTTTATTATAGCAGCAGACCAGTAACTATCACTGCAAAAGCAAAACCCAGATGTGGAGGCATGCACGTGCAATCCCAGTGCTGGAGAATTGAGTGAAATAGATACCTGGAGCTTAGTAGGTAGACAAGCTAATCAAAATAGTGAGCCCCATGTCCCAAAGAGAGACTCATCCCCAAAGCACAAGACAACCTGCTCTGACAGATGACACTTAAGCTACCCTCTAGCCTCCACATGCATGCACACACACTAAGAAAAAAATATCAATATCAATAACTTTAAATGATAAATTTTAGCAGTGAAATTATGAATATATCCACTGCATCACAGTGCCTCCACCCTTTGTTGATGCTTGACAAATATTGTTGAATGACAGACAGTGTTTATATAGAGATGTATCTCGTTATCTTCAGCTAAACTATTCTTCCATGGCAACAAATACCAAAGCAATCATTCTGATCTTAGTAACCAATGCTGAGAAAGGATCCATTTGTGCTTATTGATGCATTGAAACATTATAAGCCATTGCCCTACAAGATGTACACTATTAACCTTCACCCTCACACACATGGTAACAGAATTCTAAAGACAAATGTAAAAAGCCATCCTCAGAAGACTGATGGGTGAGGTAGGGGCCTCCTAGCTCCTGGTTTCAATCTTCCACTGTTAGACCTTTAAGGGCTTGTTTTAATTTTGCTTCATGTACAGTCCATCACTTTTTAAAGATTTTTAAAACTTTTACAATGTGTGTCCACATGTCACATGAACGTAGTTCCCAAGAAGGCATTAGATCCCTGGTCCAGTGGTCGATCCAATGGTTGGGAGTTACTGGTAACTGAACTTGGGTTGTCTGTAAGAGTAACAAGTATCCCTAGCAACTGAGCCATTGCTTCAGCCTCTCCATTACTTTAGATATGATCTTTCTTTTACATTGGCAATTAAAATTGGTGTATGTTGTATCTAATAAGTAGCCTGTCCCAAACTTCTCATCCCCCTCCACCCTTTCCTGACCACTGTTCTATTCTCATTTCTATGAGATGAATGTACTTCACTTCCACCTGAGGGAGAATAGCCAGCAGTTGTTTTTCTGTGTCTAGACTATTTGGTTAACATCTTTGTTCCTGCACAGTAAGCATGGAATGAGGTGGTTTAACATACTGTTTTAGTTTCCTTTGAATATACATGTACTGCAGTGGAATTGCTGGGTCATAAAGTAGTTCTATTTTTTAATACTCTTGTGCCCCATATACACTATTTGCATAAAAAACACATTAATTAATTATGTGTGTTATGCATGTATGGTGCACATGCCCATGTGTGTGCAAGAGAAGTCCAGAGCATACACATGGGCACGTGCTACCTATTGCTCTGTGGCTACCTTGAGACAAAGACTCCCACTGAATCAGAAAGCTTACTGTTTGGGCCAAGCTAGCTAGGCCAATGAGCTCCCAGGATCTGTGTGACTCACAAAGACACATGAAGCCATACCTGATTATTTTTATGGGTCCTGGATATCCAAACTGAGTCCTTAACCTAGAACCATCTCTCCAGCTTGACTACATTTATGTATGAATGCACCCATTACCAGGATATAAGATAGGAGTCTCTCTCCTTCAATAGACTCTCTAGTGCCTGCCTTTCTATCTATAATACCGTAATTGTAAACAGAGTGAGATAATCTCATTGTAGTTTTAATTTATGATGCCTGTAAATGATTTTCATATTAATTTGTGCTTGCCTTTGCATCTAATAATTTTCAGTGGTTCTTTCATATATTTGAGGGATATCTACCCATATCGTTTATCAGCATTCTCCACTCTTGTTGGCTGTTGGGTTTGGGGGCTAATCTGTCTGAGTTTTTTATTATCCTGAATATTAATATTATCCAGAAAATAGTTTTCAGCTTCTATAGGACCTTAATTTTATATGATCACACTGTATCCATTCTTCATGGTTTAGAGGTCTTCTCCAGAAAAGGAATTTGTTTGAGTGTAGCAACGACTTTGTGTTTCCTATTTCTTGAAGTGTTTTGATAGTTTCTAGTTTAAGACTTTGCTTTACTTTTAATTGATTTTTACTTTTGATTAAAATTATTGATTATTTTAGATTTTGATGTATGTACATGAACATATACACATATCTACATATGGAGAGCTGGGCACAGTTTCCCCAAGGCCATTTGTTAAAGAAACAATACCATCTCTAATGTGTGCTCTTATGCTCTTGTAATAAGCATGTCTCTTTTAAACATGTAGGCTTACCTGTAGTTTCTCCATTTTGCTAAATTGATCTCAAATGTTCTTAGTGCCCACCATGCTGTTTTGGTGACTATAGTTTTGCAGTAAGTTTTAAGGGCAGGTATTAAAATACATTTCAATTTTGTTCATTTTTTTCAGGGTTTCATTGACTATTCAGAATCTTTCTCTGTTCTTTACAAATGTCATTCTTCTGTTACTATTTATTTCTGTGGACAATGTCACTGTTTACTTTAATAACAATTGCACTGAACCTGTGATATAGCTATTTAACAATATTAATCCTTACAATTCCTGAACACAGAATATACTTGTGTGCTATTTTCAATATTTTCATTAATTTATTTATTCACTTTACATTCTGAACGCAGCCATCCTTCCCTCCTCTCCTCCCAGTTCCACCCTTACAATTCCCTTTCCCAACCACATCCTCCCCTTCCCTTCAGTTATTTCCTTTGCTCCTTGGAATTTCTTTTCAGCTTGGGAATGCAGAGCCAACTCCAATCATCGTACGCAGCCTTGCTTCTTATTCCAGGCATCTTTTATAATTCTGTTCTTTAC